CGCCATTGAAGGCGGCGGTGCAATGGCTGTTGAGCTTGATTCCGGCCAACTGGCTCGCCAAACTCATAAACAGATGATGGATTTGAGCTCCTTCTAAAATTTCGAGTCAGGTGATGGAATTCTTGTAAATTTCTGGGCAGGATCAACTCTCCAACCACCTTCAACAGCGGTGTCGGCGGAGGTCCGGTGACCGGCCGGCGAGTCTCCAGCGAGGCCCTACGAGGCAGAATCATCTTCTCCTCGTGTTGATCGTGAAATTAGTCCAATTTTCAATTGGTACGTTCTAAGACCTAGTTCCTCATTTTTTTTAGTATAAATTCCAAATTTTAAACTATAAGTTGATTGCGATTAAATAATTAATCGAATACGATTCTTGTTAGGGAACCTCGATAGATAAATAAACTTAATTCATAAAAAAATTTTAGAATACAAGTCATTTAGAATGATTGTTATGAATAAATTATTTAATTTTCGACGCGTCATGTAGCTAGGTAATTAATTTCCAACCAATCTCAGTATATTTTACGAATTCCTTGTTGATTAATGAATTTGTTAAACTGTGGGCTATAAGTTTAAGTTAGAATTTAAGATTTCTAAGAAATGGTAGCTACTACAGGACTGATTCTTATAAATTTGGACTAATAAAGACCAAGTATGAGTGTGTTTTATTTTTCTTTAAGATGATATGAACTAAGTCTATATTGGAGGTGGGAATAGGTTTTTCATAATTTGTTGTTAATATTAAAAGTTCTAATGATTAAGATGGAATAAAGTGAGAATTATTTGTAGTAGCAAAATGTATTTTGTTAATCTCTTGAACTATGGCTTTTAATATTGAGTTTAAGATTTTTGAAAGTGAGTTTGTTGAGTAAGAGTAATAAATGATAATCGTTAATTGTTGGTATTGTCGTGCAAAGGAGGACGGGCATTTGATGATAATCGTTAATTGTTGGTATTGTCGTGCAAAGGAGGACGGGCATTTGATTTGATTGATTACTCGATGGATGGGCTGTATGGATTGAATGAACATATAGAGAGTATTTGCCACTATCTTGGCAGGCAAAAATTCCTATTTTTAGGGGACGTTCTTCCGAAATTTCGATAAAAGCTATGCTAGTTATATTTAATGATTAAGTTAATAGGCTTATTCTTTAACTCGATATATTTAAAATATTATTCGATTCAATTCTTTCCTCTCCTTTGAATGCCATTTCGTTTGGATCACTCTAGCTTGTTCACTGCTTCAACAGGTTAGGACCCAAAATTAGAGTGTTTTTCCCATTTAGCAATGTAGGTAATGATAAATAGTATTTACCATTTGCATCCTACATAAAATCATTTCTATATAGAGTTTTGTCTTTAATTATTTGTTTATTTATTTATTTATTATTTATATATTTATATATTTATTTTGAATTGGTATATGAGTGTCTATTTGCGCTCTTGCATGACAATGTTTAATTATTTATTATGCTTGCATTTGATTGCATTATTTATTATTTGTGATGTGACATTTATTTGCCTTGTTTGCGTGGAATTGGGATGAAGTGGGTCAACATGAGTTTGTGAGGGTAGTCTTCGATACCGTCCATGTATGGGGATATCGGCGCCCCCGTGTGCATCTGATGATATGGATTATATGGAAAACCACAGGGTGGTCTCCTGTTGGTATGAAAAGAAAAAAGAGTATAAAAAAATGATAGGGTTGGTCACGTGAGGATTAGGCCTGTCGACCATGTATGGGGATTGGCTCATTGGTGCACATGTCGTGAGAGGATGGGCCATGTGTGAGGATGGCTCATCGGGGATTTCGGTGACGCCACTAACCAATTTCGACTTGTTTAATTACCTTAAGGTGTAATTATTTGTGGATGCTGATGTTGTGCCATATGATTGACCAGCTGTGTATTCATTTTAGTACTTTGGGAAGCATTTTATGGGAATGCTTGTGTTATACAATAATTACTATTCATTAATAAACTCACATTTCTTTTGTTTAACTTTTCCAGAAAGTAGATACTTCTTTGTCCTGGCTAAAGCTCTGTTTTCTTCACTGCAGAGCTAGAAAAGAAATTTTCTAATTTCAATAATTATTTTATTATATAGCTATATGTATGAGAATTTAATTATATCTATCTGTTAGTGGACTTAACAGTTGTAGGATTGTATCCAATAAATTTAGATGGATGTTTAGTTATTTATTTATGTGAATGCATGAACTAGTTAGCCCATATTATAAATTGGGCCGGAGCTATACAATGTTTAAGATGCTAGATTTGGTCTAGAGTATAATATAATTATGAGATTTATTATGTACGACAATATGGGTTAATTGTTTGAAATTCATATTTATATGGTTGAATTCTAGTGGTTCAGACTTACTACGGGTCTCGGAGCCTTATGCTTAACTGTGCCCTAATGCCGATCTGGCTCATAGTTTCGAGGTCGTGACAGCTATGTTATCAAAAACTATAAAAAATAGCGTTTAACGTTTTGACTGGTCAAAACACTAAAAGTTATTTAAAAAGTTATTGCCGAACACAACTTAAGGATATTATATGATATATAAAATTTCACTAATGACATTTTTAAAAAGCCATTATTCCTTTCATTTTCACATTTATATATGCTATAAATATATTATAGCTAGATAGATTATGTATGAGAAAATTCTACAAATAACATAATAAAATACTGCAACTGAAAAATATAATTAAGTTGTAAATTAAAATATGAAATAATATGCGAAATAATATTAGGAGAGGAGAAAAACATATTATATATATTAGAAATCCTCTTCTATATTTAAAGTTTTTCAAAATATTATATTTATTATTATGTTATTCTTTTAATATTGTGTTATTTTTTTTATTATTGTGTTATTAGTATTATTAAGACGTCTTTAAAAAAAAAAAAAAAAGAAGAATTATCTGATTCATCACCAATACATGAAGCATGGGTGTATTAATGTAGGCATGGCCGGTTCATTGAATTGCTGGTTCCGGTTTACGAAACTGACAATTCAAAATTTTTAAAATGTTGAACCTGAATCGGCCCTTGAACCATCGATTCCTGGTCCAATTTTGGTTTTGGCTGGTTTCGGTGCAGTTCCGATGAACCAAAGGTTCCGATCACGATTTTCGGTGATATATGTTTTTTTATTTAAAAAATCGGTTCTAATATTACATCTTTCTTTCAAAAATATTAATATGAGTTTTAAAAATATTGGTAAATTTTATTTTAAATAAATTGTAGAATGCTCATACTCATATAAGAATAAAATTTATTAATTTTACAAAATAATCAAATAAATTATCACTTTATTTTGTTTAAATGTTTGTTTAAAAATAGTTATTAATTAATTAATTTATACAGAATTTTGAAAAATGCTTAATGACTTTTTTAAACTCATGTAAATATTTAAACGGGGTTAAAAAAAGAGTTAAAAAATATATAAGTTTAGACTTAAATATTTCTTTCTTTTCTTTACCATTTTTATTTTTTTAGATGTTTTAACTTTTTTAAGTTGAAGTGAGCTAAAAAAAAAAAATTCTTACAGTTAAAGTATATCATGTAGGTTAAATATTATTTTGGCGAATTTTTAGAGATGTATAACATAGGCTGAAATGATTATTCATTTTGAAATAAAAATAGAAATTTCTTAGTTTCGAACCCGGACCAGAACTCGCTGGGTTAACCGCTGGTTTCAAGACCGGCTACAGGTTTTAAATTTTAATAGTCACTAAATTTAACTCGGCCCTTGAACCGGCATTTTTATTCAAAACTTTGAACCTACTGCACTTCCAATTTTGATTTTTTTTTTTTACAGCTACGGGTTTGATTCTGTTCAAAGTTAAAGTCGGTGGAATGCTCATACTCATATAAGAATAAAATTTATTAATTTTACAAAATAATCAAATAAATTATCACTTTATTTTGTTTAAATGTTATTAATTAAATAAATTATAAGAAAATTTTGAAAAATGCTTAATGTAATTTTAAACTCAGTAAATAATTTAAACGGGTAAAAAAAAGAGTTAAAAATAATATAAGTTTAGACTAAATATTTCTTTCTTTTTTTACCATTTTATTTTTTAGATGTTTAACTTTTAAAGTGAAGTGCATTTAAAAAAAAAAAAATCTTAAGTAAAGTATATCATGTAGTAAAATATTATTGAAATTTTTAGAGATGTATAAAATAGGCTGAATGATTATCATTTTGAAAATAAAAATAGAAAATTTCTAGTTCGAACCGGACCAGAATCGCTGGTTAACCGCTGGTTCAAGACCGGTTCAGGTTTAAATTTTAATAGTCACATAAATCTTAATCGGCCCTTGAACCGCCAGTTTTAGTTCAAAACTTTGAACCTATGATTCCAATTTGATTTTTATTTTTTACAGTACGGTTTGATTCTGGTTCAAAGTAAATCGGTGGCCATGCCTATATTAATGTGCTTAATATATTATATATTCAAAAATATTTAATATTTTTCTTTTTGAGGAAAAAAAATCTAAATAGCAGCACTCATTTCCCATACAACGGTGTGCCATTTAAGTAACCCTCAAGTTACCCTCTCTTTAGTCCCAAGCGGACAAGGTACTTTAATTTTATTTTGCACTTTCTCTCTTTCCCCATCAATTCAGCACTTCTTTATTCAAGATCTACTCTATTCTTTTATTTATTTATTTATTTAATGTCAATTCTTAAAGATTCATAAATCACCCTCTTCATCTTCTAATTTACATAATTACCTCAACCTGTTTATCTTTATCTCGCGTAAACCCGAGGAGCACCATTGTCATTTAATATTCTTGACATGACAGATACACAGGTAGAAGAAAGAGAAACTTCACTCCATTTCCCAGTTTTGTCCCTTGTACCACCTGATACGTGCCGTTGGTATAGGGGCATTATTGTCTTTCGGATTTGAAATTTGAACCGAATGACAGTAGGGGCATTTAAGTCATTTGACAATTATAAAGAGAGAGATAGAGAGAGACAAGAAAAAAGGGCAGAAAGAGAGAGAAAGAGAGCAGGGGTGTATGTGTGAGAGAGAGAATTGTTTGTGTCCGTTTTTTCTGTTAAATATATGTTAAACAGATAGAGAAGGCGATGGTGTCGGACCAGGAATTAGCGAAAGGGATAGAGACTGTGCTCCGTCAGTCAGACCCGAACGCCGTGACCTCCATAGACGGCGTCGTTCAGCAACTCGAAGCGAAGCTAGGGTTAGACCTGTCTCATAAAGCTGGCTTCATTCGTGACCAGATCAGCCTCTTGCTCCGGTCACATCCGACGACAGTAACAACAACAACAACCACCGCAACCGCCTTACCTGTCACACAACCACTGCACCCACTTCCACATCCACAAATTCAACCACAAACCTTCCACCTTACACCGAAAGACCATTTTGCCCTCCAACATCACCCGCAATTCCAACAATTTCCTCCCCATTTTGCCCTCTATACTCAACACCAGCAGCAACAACACCACCACCAACAGCAGCAGCAGATTTTTCCTCAGGACCTCAACTTCCGTCAGCCACAGGCGCCACATCCTTCGCAGCAGCAGCAACATCCGCAGAGGCAGCAGCCACCGCCTGTCGCTAAACCTGAGGTCTACGCCCAAAATGCTGCCGCTGTCCCTTCTGAATTATCCAAAGAAAGGTAAATATTCCTTTTTTTTTTTAATTTATTGGTTTCAGGGTTTTGTTTGGTACAATTTCAGGGTTAAAGGCTTAATTAGATACTGTGCGTTTAGATTTCAAAGTTCGGGTTTTTCTTACAGTTTTGTTTTCGTAAGGGTTAGTCAATTATTTTCCTTCCCAATTTTTAGGTTTTTATTTAATTTGGAAAAGTCAACATTTTTTTTTTTTTTGGTTTTTTCTAGTCAATTTTTTAAATTGTTTTTACTATTGAATATATGAAATGCTAGTTCACTTGATGCTAACCACTGAATGAACGCACAATTTCATCTCAGAATGTTTATCGGAATATTTTTAAGATCTATTATCTTTGCTTGAAGAAGACAAAGAGAGAAAAGAATCATTATTCATAAAGAGCATCAGCATTTCATTTTTGTGGTTTTTAGACTCAAAATCACTATTTGTTGTTTTAGCTTGATTACTAATTTGATATATGGTACATTTACTTTGGTTAATATTTTTATTGGAGGTTTTGTTATTTATAGGCATTTGCCTTTTGGGTCTGACCCATTTTTAGGTACTTTTAATTGAAATCAGTATGCTAGTTTCTCTCCAGCTTTACTTGTTGACTTTGTTTTTTTTATTGGTTAAATATCACATTGCACTTTTTTTGGGCTTTAAATTTGATGGTGTTTCTGTTAAATTTCTTATTCAGTGCTCCAGTTGGTGCCAAAAGAAGAGGTGGCCCAGGTGGGTTAAATAAGGTTTGTGGCGTTTCACCTGAACTTCAGGCTGTTGTTGGTGAGCCAGCCTTGCCAAGGACTGAGGTATGCTGTGTCTGTGTCACCGAAGTTTATTATATGTGGCTGATTAATTAGTTTATTTATGTAATTCTGTATGTTTAGTAACTCCTTTATTTGATACAGATTGTGAAGCAGTTGTGGGCTTACATAAGGAAGAATAACCTCCAAGATCCGAGCAATAAGAGAAAGATAATTTGTGATGATGCCTTGCGTGTGGTTTTTGAGACAGACTGCACTGATATGTTCAAGATGAATAAGCTGTTAGCTAAACATATTATCCCTCTTGAACCTTCAAGTACGTAATGAGGCATTGTATGCATTATGCTGTTGAACTGCAGTAAGGTTTATCAACTCATTTTTTCTTCTAAATATCTGCAGAGGAGGCTAGTCAGGCTAAACGAGTGAAGGTTGATGTTGAGTCCACAACTGAAAACACTGAACCTGTTGCATCTGCAGTTGTGATATCTGATGCTCTTGCCAAGTTTTTGGGAACTGGCGTAAGGGAGATGACCCAAGTAGAGGCCAGTAGGCGTGTTTGGGAGTATATAAAGGTTAACCAATTGGAGGTGAGTAGTGAATGTCTAACTTTGTACCTTTCCCTGAAAGTTTTGAGTTTTTATTGGATGCCTAATTATCAAATTTACCATTCCAGAATAGCTTGAGACATTTCTTTTTTTGTTCGATTGGTCTTGTTTCTCTTCTATTCTCATCTTGTTGTTACCATCATCTACTGTTACAGTGTCTTTTTGTTTTTTTGTTAAATATCTCGACACTTAAGAATTTATATCTCACATAGACCACAACATCTAAACTTCTATTATCTGTTGAGAAAAATGCATTAGCAGCTAAAGTTTCTGTGGTTTTGCTTGCGTGCCTTCAGGATCCACTGAACTCAATGGTTATATTATGTGATGCAAAGCTCCGAGAGCTTCTTGGATGTGAAAGCATCTCTGCTGTGGGGGTAGAAGAGATGTTAGCACGCCACCATTTGTTCAAGCAGTCGTGATGTTTGGCTGCGCTGACTGGTTAGTATAACAACAGGGCATAGTGTGTATGCATATGTGTGTATACATGCATCTGTGTTACAATCATTGTTATCCTTTTTCTGTCTTCCCTAAAGAAAGTTGAGAATATGCGATTTTAATTTCTAGTTTTTGTACATGACACAAAATCTCTTATTCTTGATGCTCTTTGGTGATAGCCTTCATTCACCAAGGAAAGAATAGAACTTGTTGTATAGTTCATTTGTTTTGAGGTTGGTGAGGGGAAATGATGATCTGAGAAGTGAATTTGAGTTAACTTATGTTATCTTTGTACTAAGAGGATGGAGAATGAGAATAGAGGCAGATAAGGACAAGTACAATTTTCTCTCAAATTGGAGAAGAAAATTCAAGGGAAAATCTGCTCTTGAATTTCAAATTTATCCTCCACTTTGAAATGTTTTGGGCATTACCAAGGCTTTAAGGGGGCCTTGAAAATTTTCATTTTAAAATTTCGGTGCATCCATGAATTGCATTCTCCATGCAAAGCCTGTAAACTTAACAATGATAAGCCTGATCTCAATTCATTCTTTTTCTTTACTTGATGTAATTATCCATAGAGATTAGAAAACTTTTATTGTTGTGACTTTCATCTCATTTAGCAAGTGGTTTCCAGTACTTTTTTTCTTCTCCATTGCTTGTGAGTTATATATATAAGTTGTTTGGTATTACAAGTCTTTTCCTCACAGAAATGTCCCCTATATTCTTCTTGCTTTAGACCTTATGTCTGCTTTCTTTTGTTCGTTTCTTGGATTCAATTATCTATCGAGTTTATGATTCTGCAAGCATTTGCCTGAACACCTATGCTTTATGCTGCACATCTCTTCCTTGTTGATTCATTTGCTTATGGTTCAGTTTGTATGAAATGAATGATGGATCGAGTTTTTACTCTTTCTTGCAGATGTACTCAATGTTTTGTGACCACTGCACTTCTGATGGTAGAACAGATAGTGAAGAACCTTAATTTTTTTCCCTCTTTCTGTTCTTTTATTTTTGTCATTGTGAATTAACCGTGGCTAGATAATATGGAGATTTACTCTAGTTTGTTGTGATTAGGATGAAAATGTGACCATGGGCCAATTGCAGGGAGTACCTTTGTAGTTATGCCTTTGCCCTGGATTTAGGTTGCTTGCTAATTTTATTACCATTTAAACTTTACTCCATGCCTAACCCTCAGTAGGTAACAGCAGTGGAATTGTAAAATCTTACTTTCTTCGGAGGACCCATATCTGTATCTTATTCCAATATCTAGGGCTGTTGCTTTTTTAATCTGCAAGTTTTTTCCCTACTCTTTTGTTATCAATCAATCTGCCTTTGCTGTTTTATTTAATTTCCCTGGAATTTTTTCGACCTAGCACACTCACAACTGTAGATTGCTGTTGCATTTGTCATCGGTTTACCAAGTATGGATTCAAACATGAAAGATTTAAATTAGTTTGATTGTTATAGTTATAATAATTATTCGTACAACATAAGAAGTTCATACATTGTACATAAAATCGCTGATTGAATGCTTGTGCGAACAATGTTCATGAAAACTAAGGCTAAGCTATCTTCCTACGGAGCGAGTTTAACTGGAAAAATTACAGTTGCAAAACACTCTCTGAGGAAGGACCCAAAAGGAGTATAACTTAGATTCTATGACTTAATTCAATCCTGGCATCATAAACAGCAAAATGATGGCCATCAAAAGCACAGCAAGGATTGTGGTTTTCACTTTGTCTTTGGACAGTCTGATGGAGCTCATCTTCTCAGCTATTCTTGTCAGATATCCAGTTATTTTCTGGAAAAATAGAAAATTAGAAAGGTGGAGGATGAACAAAGAGCCATTGACTAGTATTTATTTAAATTTTTAAAAATTGAAGTTTGCTTACCGATCTAAATGGCTGGATGTGAAGGAGGGGTTCCATGAACATCTCCATATTCCTGAAAAGTGAAAAGTAGTGACTGTCATCATTAACTCCTTGGCAAATGATAACGGCTCAGCACGTGTTGAATTTTCTTGTATTCATCATCATTAGTTTCACCCTTTTGTATTCTGATTTGATATCCATTTTATTTTCTAACTTTGGTAGTTATCCAATTACTTTAGAACATTTCTAATGCTAATGTGAATTTGCTCTCTTTTAACAGTCAGTAGAAAAATAATTGCTCTCCTGTAATTGTCGCATCAGAAAAATGTCTATTTAATGTATTAAGTTGAGATATCAAAAAAATAGATAGATATGGTCGACCACACTTATGATGGGGGCATTTATTGCTCTCTGGTTATTGGCTATTAAATTTTATAGTGATTGGCTATTAAATTGTGGATGTAAAAAAGAAAGAGAAAGAAAGAGAAAGCAAGAGGATTTAGTAGGCATTAAGGAGAGATTTTTAAAATTCAATATTTTGCAATTTCATATGATAAATCATATTAGCATTTTAGATTTTCTTAGGAGAGTAAATACGTTTTAATACTTTTTTTAAAGAATTTTATAAATAAATATTATTTTAAAATTAAAATAATTGTTTTATGTTTTTCATTAAATTTTTATCATAAAATATTTTATTAAAATAAGAAGTAAATAAGAGTAATATAACAATTTAATTTATTTATTTATTTTTGTTTTTTAAATCTTTTTGGTTATCATTTTCATACCAAACATTAGATTAGGTAAGACGAGACATTTGTGGTGTTCAGTCCTATTTTATCTTTGTTCATTTACACGTCCATTTAACTAAAGATTGATATTATTATTTGGTATTATTAAGAAGTTTATTCATTGAGTTATTAGCTTAGTACCATTGTTCAGAAAACCACACCCGACTGCCCAATGTAAACCGAAATCGAATTGTCGTCCAGTACAGTTTACATAAGAAAATGAACTTTAAAGAATCAGCACAAACCGGTTATAAACCGATAAATCGACCAGTTAAAAATCAGTTCGATTCAAATTTTGGGTTTTTCTCAAATTGTGAGCCTTCTTAAAATTTGAACTTCTTAAAAATTGAGCCACTAATTTTTTAATTATTGGACTCTTTATTTTTAAATCCAAAATTTTAATATATTAATTAAAACAATTAAGTTGGCCAACTTTAAAGGCAAATATGAAAAATAATATTATATCATTATAATTAATTAATTTTTTTACTATTAAATTTATTCACATTTTATTCTTTTTGTTTAAAATTATTAAGTAATTTCTTTTATTCTTTTTGTCAAAGCCAAACATGAGAATGTTTTTTATTTGACATCAAAATTTTTCTTATCATGCACTTTCAATTTTATTTGAGCTTTCCGGTTCAGTAAACTCCTAACTTCATGGGTTCATTGACTAGTTCGGTTCTTAGAACACTGCTTAATTCTTAATATTATTATTTTAATTTTTAATTATTATTGTCAAATAATAAAATAATATATCTATGAAAAAATTTATAAAAACAAGTAAATAATGTTTTTTTTTCAAAATTATAATATTTGAAGTATTTGAACAACAATAATAATAAATAAAAACAACATGATACTAAACAAGCAAACATTATGTTATCATAAAGTTTTGAGCACCTTATTACCACCTTCCCTTGGTATACTTGTAAAATGTAGAAACTGAATCCTTTTCCTAAAGGCATGTGGGTTTTGCTCCATTCTGCAAATAACAAAACAAAAGAATAACAAAAGCATTTCAACCTCTCTTTAAATATTTATATATATACACGAAGGAAGGAGAGAGTTAGTGTAGTATGTACGTAGTCTCCATGAAACACCAACATTCATCCCATCATGTACCGTTGGTTTCACCACAAATTCAATGTTATCTCCGAAGATTCGTATCACATATTTGAAGAAGTCCAATACTTGCTGCAAAAAAACAGTTAGTCTCAATTAGAAAATTTACTATTAGTTGTCTTATGTTCAAATTTTTAAAAAGATTATATTACTTTGGTACTGATTAGAATGGCAAAGTCAAATATGTCTGTAAACTTATTTATCATGCTATCAATTTCCATTGCAGAGTTAACAGTAATACAGCTCTCCAATTGTATTACCTAATAATCTATACCTGTTTGCCATGGAAGGATTGGAAAAATGAAAAGAAATTGCAAACACAACGGCATTCGTCAGCAATTATATTGGAAACTTGGTGGATATTTTGGTTCTTAATTGCAGAATAAAGCTTGAGAACTGTTTCAAGAGCTTGCTTCTCTTCATCATTCCCAGATACAGACCTTTTAGCATTGGATAATGGGACCAGTGATAAGCATCTGCGCCTTGAAGAAAACCCAAAATTAACAGCAAAGTTTTTTCTACGTAGACTTGTTTCATGAACAAAAGAATTATGGGATTTTCTTGCGTTTTGAATGAATAGTGAAGAATTTGAGACAAGTCTATTGCTATATAAGGGAAAAGAGACCATATTAGCCATTTGAAAGTGATAAGAAATGAGATAAATCATAAAAATATAATAAAAAACGAGCAATATGTAAGAAAAGGATGGATCATTGGAACCTTGCTTCGAACTGCAGCAAGGGATCCCCTCCAAATGAAGATAAACATTGTGCCATTTGCTTTTTTTCCATACTAACTTACAAAGAAATCCCTTTAGTAAATTTTTAAAAAATTCTCTTCTGAGAAAGTGATAAAAAAAAAAAAATCCACCATTTGGTTTCCTCCCAGAAGGGAAGATGAAGAGAGGAAAGTCTGAAAAGAAAGGCATACTAAATTTTAATGGATTTTTACATTTTTTTCAATTAAGTGAAAATAAGTATTGAACCACGCATTTATATTTTGAATTTTGATGTGCCATAACAATTTGGATTGCTTAAACTTAGCTTGTGAGTTGCAAAACCAAGTAGGTAAGATCAAAGAGCTTAAAGGAGATCCTGAAATGGAGCTTTTGAATCCCAAGTATTCTCTCTAAAAAGTATGGATAAAGCAATAAATAATCAAGAGATGGACGTAAGGGACAGTGCAGACTAGCTTTTTGTTGTTTAAAATGTGACCACATGTGAAATGTAGTTAATTTGGATCAAGGAAGTATAGGCAAACAAGTCAATTCTAAGGAAAATATAGTGGGTGTAAAGTGAAAAAGAGGATTGAGAAATAATAGAGAGAAATAATGTGAGGTACGAGGGAGGATAAAAAATAATAAAAAAAGTTTGTGTATTCAATTTTGCATATGCATTATAACATTGGCACCTTTTTCCAATCACATGGTGTATGAACGTGTCTTATACGATGGTCGATGGATGGTAGCGGATCACTACCTTAAGGTTTGGAAATGACAATCTAACTTCGACCCGGAAGTGGCACAGATTGACAGAGGTATGGTCTGGGTTCATATCCCTAATCATCTAGTAGAATACTATTCTTGCACGTCCCTATGGCGACTTGGCCGTCGTATTGGGACTCCGATCGGTATTGATGAGATGACTTTGGAGGCTTCGCGTGGGAAATATACAAGAATGAGTGCAGAAGTTGACTTATCTCTCGCATTGGTTTCTAAATTTCGATTTCGCAGAAAGGTTAGGCGCATTGAATATGAGGGGGCATGAACGTGAGTTTTAAGATTGTTATCAAAGTCTTGGCAAATCGCATAAAGCTAGTCTTGCCATCGTTAATTTCTCATTTGCAAAGTAGCTTCATTCTGGGGCGCCAACTCCATGATAATGTGGTAGTTTTTCAGGAGATTACTCATTCTATGCAGAAATGTAATGGCGCTACGGCTTGGCTGGTATTTAAAATTGACATCGAGAAAGCCTATGACTTCCTGGGATTTTTTGGAGGAAACGTTGGGTTGGCAGGTTTCTCGGCTCAATGATGTTCTTTACTTTTGAAGTGTCTCCAAGCCTGTTTTTTGCGGGTCATTATTAATGGTTCTATTTCTTCTAGTTTTCGGCCTACGAGAGGTGCCCGGCAAGGTGACCCGATTTCTCCTTATCTCTTTGTTCTTGCCATGGAGAGGTTGGACCATTGTATTAATGGGCTGTCTGTGAGGGGGATTGACACCCCTTTTGTCCTTCTCGTCGAGGACTTGGCATATCGCACCTCTTTTTCATCGATGACTAGCTTCTTTTTACTGAAGCTAGTGTTGATCAGTTTCAGGTTATTAAGGGGTGCTTGGACATGTTTGGTATAGCCTCCGGCCAGAAGGTGAATTATTTCAAATCTTCTATCTGGTTCTCGCCGAATGTTTCAGTGTGGTGGCTAAGGAGAGGGTGGTGAGGAGAGTGTAGCTCAACCCTCCTCTTATTTGTGGTGTTCCCATTTTTACAAGGAGAGTAAACAAGGACGCGTTTGATGGAATGTTGGCTCGGTTAGGTTCCCATAGTCGCTGAACTAGAAAAATAATTAGAGAGGGGGAAAAAAAATTTTAAAATTAAAAAGGATAAATATCGAAAAAAATTACTATTTTATAAACAAAAACATAAAACTTTTTATATTTTATAAAATAAATTAAAAAAAATTTAAAATTAGGACACAGCCGACATCGCATGCCACCCTCTAATTTCCGCTACTGGATTCTCATTTATCTAACTATCTCTCTTTTCCAAGTCGCCTTACCCTTATGAAATCGGTACTGACAGCATTACCCAATCACATCATGCAAATGGTCTTGCTCCCGGCGTTAGGCATTGCCACCGGTTCAGTTCTAATCGGAACTGAACTGTACTGTAGATAAATTGAAATCCGATTAGAACCGGCGGTTCATAATTTTGAATCGAAATCAGCGGTTCAAGAGCCGGTTAAGGTTCATATGGATGTTAAAATATGAATCAGAACCGACGGTTTCGGTCCGGTTCAAACCAGATGCACAAAAAAATTGTAGCTTAAAATTTTTATAAAAAGATTTATATCACTTGATTTGATTTATGGTGAAGAGAAGTTTAATGGTACATAAGTTATAAAAAGTGGTGAAAAAACTACACATGATTTGACTTAATATGTACAAAAAATGGTACATGAATAATTCATTTATTAAAAAAAAAAAACTTTCAAGTGTACAAAAAAAAGAGTGTAACGGATAGTTTTTGACATGATAGGTTTTTTTTATTTATTTTTTGGTAAATAAATTTTATTCATTTTTTAATCATTTATTTATTTATTTACTGTAATTTACTAAATTATCCAAAAAGAGACGGCGGTTCATAATTTTTGAAAAATCGAATCATCCCAGCGGTTCACGAGCCGGTTAAGGCCTTTCATATGGATGTCTAAAAATATGAATCGAAGGAAACACGGTTCTGGGAGGTCCGGTTTCAAACCAGTATGCAACAAAAAAATGTGTTTAGTTAAAATTTTGCTTAAAAACGATTTATGATCACTTGAATTGATTTTATGAGTAAGAGAGTTTAACTGTTCATCATAAGTTATAAAAAGTTGTGTTGGAAAAAAAACTACACATCGATAATTTGATTTAATATGTAACAAAACGAAAATTGGTACGTATGAATATTCTTTTATTAAACAAAAAATACTTTCAAGTGCTGACCAAAAAAAAGGGGTGTAACGGATAGTTTTTGACATTGACTAGGTTTTTTTTATTTATTTTTTGGTCAAATTAAATTTTTATTCATTTTTTTTAGATCATTTTTTATTTATTTACTTTAATTTACTAAAATTATACCAAAATATATAACTGTTATTTTTTATTATAAGGACAATGAAACTAATTTAATGAGAAATGTCTAAATATATGATGAGTTGTGATTTTTTATTCAATAACCCCCATAATTTTTTTTATTTTTTAATTTTTTAGTATCTACTATTCTTTTTATTTCAATACAAATTCTATCACTCTCCATAGTCTTTCTTTTTCTATTGCTTTATTTCCTTTAATATTGATTTTCTAGTGTGTTATTTTTATTTTTACATCCATTTCCATTTTCTTCCCTTAACTCATTTTTCCATTCATTACAATTACTTCATTGATTTCTTCTAATAAACAATTTTCTTTTGATTAATAATTATTTCCAACTCATTCCCATATTTTGTATATCCAATATTTATAGTTTTCATATATTATGACTTAGCAAAAATTTGTAATTTAATTGTAATCAAACTCTTCTAAGCTCGCTCTCATAAGAAAGTTTTTCTTTTTAAATATTTAATAAATATCTGTATTTAGTTTAATATAATTTAAATTTATAAATTTATTCTCTCTATTTCAATGATAATAATTTATTTAGTTAATAAAATTTAAACATTTTAAAATTATTATTTATTTATGAATTCAGAATCAAAATTTTATTATTTTTTAAAAAAATTTGCGTAATACCGGAATCGAATAGGAACCGTAATTCGAACCGTCGGTTCGCCAAAATTGTGCCGAACCGTGTTGGAACCGGAAGTTCAAGAGTCGGTTCCGGTTCAAAATTTTAAACATCTCGAACCGGCGGTTCAGTGAATCGGAACCAACGATTCACTGAACCGGCCATGCCTACTCAACGTCAGTCTGTGATGCTTTTTGATAAGAGAGTAAGGCAGTTTTTGTGGGGTGGTGAGTTTATCTTGGATAATCTCTATATTTTATATATAGAAATTTATTTTTAAATATAATTTAAGTTAAATAGATTAAAATTTAAAAATATTATAAATAAATTAAGTGATTGATATACAAGTCAACTCGATACAATTAACTTGTTTATAATATTAAGTGGTATGTGTTATATTCATATCATCTATAAAATTTATATGTCATCTTGATAAATTTGATACGATTATCTATTTGTTTTGACCTTAATTGTATCAGGTATTTGGAATTTGACCCCCCTTATTGACACCCCTTATTGCCCATCCTACTCCATGTTACAAGGTTTTGTTTTTTCCCTTATAATAATTTGATAAAATGCAATTTAGAACTTCTCCCTTCAGTATTATTTAGTGGAAGATAAAAATGAAATAAGAAAGAAATAATACATATATAATTGACCTGTGATTTGTATTGTGTATAGGGAACTCCTGCAGAGAGAATACTGCAGCTATGGCGGAAGATCTGGTGCTAGACACTGCAATAAGAGATTGGGTGTTGATTCCTCTCTCGGTAGTTATGGTTCTCATTGGAGTCCTCCGTTACTTCGTCTCCAAGCTCATGCGTTCTTATCAAGTACCTGATGCCAAGATTGTTAAAGAAGGGTTAATTCTAAACCCTAAAAATTAAACCCCAATCTCTCTCTCTCTCTCTCTCTCTCTCTCTCTCTCTCTCAGAGTCTATCTACGATTCATACGCACACATATATATCTATTGACTAATATATGTATATTTTTTTCATATATGTCAGTCAAGTAATTATCAGGGCTCGGAATTTGCGGTCTGGTGCTAATTTTATACCTCCCAAGTCGTTTCGTGCTCGAAGGGTTTATTTCAGCAATGAGGTTTGCTTGTTTGCCTTCCCCCTCCACTTTTTGGGTTGTTTTGGTGTTTCTAAAATGGTATTCAAAATGGAAAATTTATTTCCAATTGAGGATGTGACCTGAAACATGCTTCAAGTTCAATTTTGATTGAGGAAGTTAATACTTTTGGAAATTTATTTAACTCTACAATTTCACTTAACTAAGTCATTGAATTGATTAGTTTTGGTCACTATTTTACTCAGGGGCTTTCTTTTGAAATGAACATTTTTCTCTGTCTATCTTTATTAATCTTTTCTCCCCCTTTCTTTTTTGGGTTTGTAACATGCCTGTATTGAATTTTGGTAGGAAAATGGATTGTTATTCGTTCCGAAAGGGCAAGCGCAAAATGCACAAGCACAGATGTTTTCTGATCCAAATATGGCCATGGATATGATGAAGAAAAACCTTTCTATGATTATACCTCAGGTATTACTAATTAAGTAGGATATTCTCACCTCTGGCCTGCTTGACATTAGATGATTCCCATTTGTGATACCTATATTTTTCCTGTTGGCCAGACTCTTACTTTTGCCTGGGTCAACTTTTTCTTCTCTGGATTTGTTGCAGGTTTGTTTCTTGGCCATTGTGTTAATTTTCTGATTGCTTTACCCTGTGTTAAACTACCCTACGCACTATCTTAGCTTGTTAATAGTAAAGTCTAATCACATTGGTCCTCACAACTTCGCAGATGATTTTTTGCTACTCTTTGAAACTTTGTTAATGATATTCTCTTGTTTCTCTCAGCCAAGATACCATTTCCTCTGACTCAAAGGTTCAGATCAATGTTGCAAAATGGGATTGATTTAAGTACTGTTGATGTCAGTTATGTCAGTAGTCGCTCATGGTACTTTTCCGCCTTTATGAACAAGAAGCTCCATTTTGTTCAAAGAGTATTTCAAATTTTGGCATTTTCTCAACTAACACTATCTGATTATACGTTACTACTTTCTTTCTCCAGGTATTTTCTTAATTTATTTGGATTAAGGGGCTTATTTAGTCTCATTCTCGGTGAAGAAAATGGTTAGTACCAGTTTATAAAGTACATAGCTAGGTTGTATACTGTAAACATACAGCTTAAATCTGCATGCTGTTTCCTTCATGCAAAATCATTGATTTAAGATTTATTATTAGATATTTGCAAAATATGGAGCTTTATGGATTAATTATTTTTTTTAAAATCAAATTATGATATTCTTAATGCAGCTATGGATGATACACAACGCATGATGCAAATGAGTGGCTTTGGCTTTGATCCAACAAAGGTACAAACTTTGGCTTCTCTATTGAGCATTTTGGCCTTCAAACTTTTAAATTGTTAAGTTATAATTGCTCATTATTTTGGATTCTCTTGACTATTTTCTTGCTATGATTGTGTCTTCTTCAGTGTGTTGTTGATTGAATGGCTACAATTTGATTGTTTTCAAACTTGGTCTACATAAGCGCAGTTCGAATTGTGTTTCCTGTGATGAACTGCTTCTCCCAGTTTGTCCTGTTGATGCAGGAGCAATTCTAGTCCTAATTGGATTCCTAGCACAACTAGGATTTTATTTAATTTACTGTTTTATTTCAGATATGCATTAGTTTTCCGTTTCCTTATTTGATTATGCTATGGTTTTCGTATAACATTCAATCTGTCACTGAATATGAACAAATATAAAGAATGGCTTTTTGGCTTTGAATAACGCAACGAAAGGGGTACAAGTTAAGCTTTTGGGTCTTCCTCCATATTGAAATGCATTGTCCTATTAATATGTAATTCCTCCAAGAACTAAATTTTATAATTGTTAAGGTTTATTTCTATACCTATCGACTCCATATTTTTGGCACCTTCTCTCTTTGACTATTTGTGCGTGTGCTAATGATTGTGTCTTTCTTCCCCGAGTGTTATGAGTGTGATGATGGGAATAGGCAAACAATGTTTTGAGGTTGAATTTTCAAACTTTGGAATTCTTAGCGAGTGAAGGCCAGTGTGCAGAATTGAATGATATCTCGTATTTTGTAGGTCATTGTAATACACTGCTTCATCCACTAAGGTTATGTTCCTGTAATAAGGACTCTGAACAATGGAGCAATCTGTATAGTGTCCAATACATGGATTCCTAGCACAGACTAGGTGACATCTGTTAATATTGTAAATTTACATGTTGTTTTTTTATGATGCAGATATCCATCCTGCAGTGCAAAGTTTTTCCGTTTTCCTTTATTATCTACGGAATTTACAATATTTCTTTATTCATCCTGAACCTAGTGAATATGTCTAATATAAGTTTTTTTTAGATTTAATCTTGTTACTTTTAAATTAGTGATTTCTTAGTTCAAATAGTTTAGGATTCTATTTCATTCTTATTTGTAAAATATAAAATAAATTAGATGACAGTCACTTATAAGATGTTATACAATGTGCAATTCATATCATCTTATATTTTTTTCTCATTAATTATTATATTCTCGATAAGGTATTATAAAAACTAACCTGAAGTTTGACTGATTGCATGTTTTGCAAACCTATGATCCTGACCCTTATTCTAGGCTACTTGTTGAAACTGAACAACCCTACATCTTTCCCTGCGTCAATTGGTATCAGAGTCCCAAAAATAGATCCTAGGATTCTTTTTTTGTCTGAATTAAACCATGGTTGGAAAGAGGCAGAGGCCAATCAGCCCCAAAAAGAAGAAATAGCTGAGAGATACCGGCGAATAAGAAGAAATAGCTGAGATACGGCGAATGATTGAGGATTTGACCCGGGCTGTACAAGCCTCGCAGCATCAGGAACCCGTGGAAGCCCGAATGGAGACTTCGGAAGGCAACCACCAAAACCTTGATTTTCAAGAAGCTCTTGAGAGTAAAGAGGAAGTCGAGGACGTAAACCCCTTTCATGAAGCTGGACATGCAAACCCAGCAGCACGAGGCAGATTGGAAGAGCCTTTACTTCATGCTCTTGACTTAAATAGTGGAGGAGTTAAAATTGAAGTTGCTGATTTTCATGGGAAATCACATGCCGAAGATTATTTAGATTGGGAAACTAGTTTAGAAAATTATTTTGAATGGAAATCAATGGTTGAAGCCCGAAAAGTGCTTTTTGTAAAGCTTAAATTGAAGAGTACTACACTTCAATGGTGGAAGAGAGTTGAGGAGCAGCGCGCACGACAAGGAAAGCTTAAAATCAGCACGTGGGAGCACATGAAAACTAAGCTCAGGAAGCAATTTTTACGAGCTGATTACACAATGGAACTATATGAAAGGTTCCACTGCTTGAAACAAAATAGTATGCCTGTTGAAGAGTACACTATAGAATTTAATAATTTGTCCATTCGAGTTGGAATATCCAAAAACAATGAACAAATTACCTCTCGCTACCTTGCTGGTTTGAATCAGTCCCTTAGAGATGAAATGGGCATAGTCTGATTACACAATCTTGAAGATGCTCGCCAATATGCCTCAGCAGCTGAAAAGCGAGTTTCTCGTTACGGTGCTAGAAGGCCCATAGCAATTGGCAAAACAATTTCGGAGCTGCAAGAGAGATTCAAATAACTGAACGAAGCGGGAAAGAAGCTGCCGCTATTGATAAATACAATGAAGAGACAACCCGTGTTGATGGGAACGATAAAGGGATAGGTATAGTACCTTATGTTGGGCAAAACAATTCTGGTTCGTCTACAAGGAGAGGCAACAATTCTCAAGTTCATTGTTTTACTTGTGGAGAAAAGGGACATACTTCATTCATCTGTCCATAAAGGAGGGTAAATTTAGCCGAGTATGATGAAGACCAAGGCCCTATTTTTGATGAATATGATGAGGAAGTAGAAGAAATTGATGTTTACCCAGCTCAAGGTGAGTCTTTAGATGTTGGAATAGTCATGACAGCCATGAACAAAGAAGGAGAAGAAGATTGGAGGAGGCGTAGCATTTTTCGTACACGTGTTATTTGTGAAGGCAAAGTGTGCAATAAAGTGTGTAAGTTAGTCATTGATGGAGGAAAAGTGAGTTATGGAAAATATAATATCAAAGGAGGCTGTAGATAAATTAAAGCTTCCTACAAACAAAAACATTTCTCATCCATTTACAAAGTAGGTTGGTTGAAGAAAGGGCTGAGGATACCAGTAACATCTCAATGCTTAGGTGCAATTCACAATGGGAGATGATTGGCAGATGAAGCAACTATGTGATGCTAGTACCAATGGATGTTGGGGCATTATTCTAGTGGACCGACCTTGCTTGTATGAACATGATTATGGACTACAAGACAAGGCTAATACTTATTCGTTCTACAAGACAACAAGAGTACACTTGCATCCTCTCAAGGAAGAAACCAAAGGCAAATAGCAAAATAAAGGAGTGCAACTAGTAAAATTTAAAATGGCTTGTAAGCTGTTTAAAGAATTGCCAGCAGCGCCATGCATAGTGAGGTGGAGTCACGTTATGCCTTAGTAAGGGCCAAACTGATAGGAGTTGACCAGGTTGAAAAATCAGTGAATAGACCAGGTTGAAAAATCAGTTGAATATTCCTTTGAAATTCAACGACTATTGCAGGAATTCAAGGAGTTGATTAGTGAAGATGTACCGAAAAGCTTGCCACCGTTAAGAAGCATCCAACATGCTATTGATTTGGTACCAGAAGCAGCTTTACCAAATCTGCCTGCATACCGAATGCCTCCTTTACAGCGGGCTGAAATAGAAAGACAAATTAAAGAATTATTGGAAAAAGGTCTGGTGCGTGAAAGTAAAAGTCCATGTGCCTACCCAGCCTTATTAACTCCAAAGAAAGACAGTTCTTGGAGAATGTGTGTGGATGGTCGTGCTATAAACAAGATAACAATCAAATATCGCTTTCCAATACCAAGATTGGAGGATATGCTTGATCAACTAGCGGGTTCTAAAGTGTTTTCCAAAATTGACTTGAAAAGTGGATATCACCAAATTAGAATGAGACATGGTGATGAATGGAAAACATCTTTTAAGACACCGGATGGGTTATTTGAATGGTTAGTAATGTGGGTTATTTGAATGGTTAGTAATGCCATTTGACCTTTCTAATGCACCAAGCACATTCATGAGAGTCATGATAGATGTACTCAAACCTGTCTTGAATTCTTTCGTTGTGGTATATTTGATGACATTTTGATTTATAGCCGCACCAAGGAAGATAATTTAAAACACTTGCAACAAGTGTTAGAAGTACTTTGTCAAGAGCAGCTGCACATAAACCTGAAAAAAAGCAGTTTCCTGCAACCAGAAGTGGTATTCTTGGGATACATTGTGTCTGCTGAAGGATTAAAACCAGATCCAGAAAAGGTCTGTGCAATTACCGAATGGCCAGCACCGCAATCCATCAAAGAAGTTAGAAGCTTTCATGGTTTGGCTTTCATGGTTTGGCCTCATTTTCTATAGGAAACCAAAATTTCAGTTCAATTATGAGTCCTATAATTGAATCTATGAAAGAAGAAAAGTTTGAGTGGACAAATTCTGCACAAAAGGCATTTGAAAGAATCATGTTTTTGATGACTAGAGCATTTGTTCTTGCACTTCCAAATTTTGAGAAATTATTTATTGTCGAATGTGGTTCTTCACATGAAGGGATTGGAGCTGTTCTTAGCCAAGAGGGCAAACCTCTTGAATTTTTTAGTGAGAAGTTGTCTAAAGCTAAGAAGCATTACTCAACTTATGATCTAGAGTTCTATGCCTTGGTACGAGCTATTCGACATTGGCAGCACAGCATTACTTAGCTTATCGGAGTTTTGGTGTTTTTTTCTGATCATCAGGTCTGAGAGATCCCTAATTTGTCAATTTTGAGCACTCAAATTACAGTTTGAAGAACTAGAAAAACCAGTATGATTCAGATTCATGTTTTTGGCAAGATAAAGGCTGATATTGTTGCATTATTCAAAAAGCTGAAAGTCCTGCATATAAACCAGATTGCAAGATGGTTATTTAATTCAAAGGGAAATAAGTTATGCATTCCCTAAGGATTCTTTAAGGTTACTTCAGTCGGAGCCGAGTCTTTTCAAACACCGGGAGAATGAAATGCAGGAAGCCAATCGTAGTCCTATTGATTCCTTCCTAGCAACAACTAGGATTGTTATTTAATTTACTGTTTATTTCAAGCATTTGCATTATTTTTTTCATTTCCTTTATTTGATTAGATTTACTATTTTAATCATTGAATAGGAGTTAGAGTTTAAATTCTTCTTTAATTAGGATTCCTAGTTCTAGTTAGGATTATCAATTTACTATTTTATCATTGAATAGGAAGTAGAGTTTTAATTCTTTCTTTAATTAGGATTCCTAGTCTAGTTAGGATTTATCACTATAAATAGACAGCACTAATAGTATTGTAAATCATCTTATTTTTTCTCATAATTTTAATTCAAAGGTTATAAACCTAATTACTGATTACTGTTCTACCTACGATCAACCCTATTCTAGCTTACTTGTTGAAAACTGACAGCCCTACATCTTTCCCCTGCGTCACCTGTTTATACCCGATCTTTCTTCAACCGAAGTATAGTAGGCTGCTTTGAGTAATGGTCAAACTAATTACATAGCTTGTCAGACCTATAGGTTCCTATTTGCAGTCTTAGAAGTCTAGGCTGCAAATTTCCTCAGGGCTGATGTATGGTTATGAACATGACGGCAGAGTGTAGAAACTGCATGACATGGTATAAAACACAGAGGATATGCTACTTAGAACATATGTAGAGTTATATATGAGATCAGTTTAACATTTGGAATGCTAAAATGTGGATGCATAAATCTTTTATTTCATCAAGATTATTATACTTTTAGTTATATGAAAGATGCATTCAGGAAAAATCCATCATATAAACAAGTTCATTAATAGCATTGAAATAAAAATACCCATCTGTAGCAGAAATTACAGTTTTCCCCATTATATGTTATAAAATGTTTAATATCAATGTCAAACTATAATCATCCATCAACAAGCAACTTGATTCTTAAAATGTTTAACCTTTTCTATGACTTTGATGTTGCAATTTTTTTTTTTTTTTTTTAATTTTCACTAGTAGGTGCAAGAAAAAGAAAGAAAAATTCCAATCAGGTCTCAATTTCCTGTCCAATGAATTTATAAGTTATATCAATCAATTATGTCTGAAATTGTCTTTTCTTTTTCTTGAAAATTTTGTCCTTTCTGTTGTCAAAGGTGTGCATGTCTAAATTGTTTTGTTTGACATGGTTGGTGTGTTTAATGTGTGACAGTTGTCAGGGCTTGTAGTCGTGTCTAGCATTTATTTTGACAACACTGTATACCCTACCTGAAAGGCTTGTTAGTGCTTTGTTTTTTAGCCTCAGAGCTGCAGACAAAGTTTGTGAGAGGGAAAGATATAAGCAGTCAACTAGAGCAAAAATGTTTGTTTGTTCAGCAGTTACTCTTGTAGTTAATTGTATAGCTGTCATCAATGAAACATAAACAAAACAAAAGGTAAGAACAGAAGAAACCTGTTTAATTGATTAACTTAAATATTTATGTGTAGATGACATTGGTATACTGAATAGTAAACATAGAACTTGTGCGTTTGTGGAGGATAATATGGATTACTACAGATAACTTTTGAATGAGCAACAAGTGCCTATATATGAAGTAAATTCCATTGTCGTGCCTAGGAAAGACTGGATTAAGACAAATTCAAATGGTGGCTTGTGCAGGCGTGGCCATCATTTCGGTTCGAATTGAAACCAAACTGTACTGTATATGAATTAGAACTGAATCAAAACCATCGGTTCAAAATTTTGAAAATGGAATTGCAGTTCACGGGCCAGTTAAGGTTCATGTTAATGTTAAAAAATGAACTGAACCGGCCCGGAACTGACGGTTCGGTCTGGTTCAAACCGGAATTCTATTTCTATTTGAAAATTTTATAATCACTTAGTCTTATATTATGCACCTCTACAAGTCTACATAAATCTTTTACCACATGATACACTTGACTTAAAGGTTAAAAGTCTAAAAAGGTAAAAATGACAAAAAAAAAAAAAGAAGAAATATTTGGTCTAAAATTATATTATTTGATACATATGGGAGTTTAACAACGTTTTTTTCCTTCTAAATTGTTTTACTATATTGTAATTTTAGGCTAACATATAGACAAAATAAAATCATAATTTTTTGGATTATTTTGTATTTATTTGTAAAGTTAATAAATTTTATTTCTTATATAATTATGAGTATTCTAAAAGTTGTTTAAAAGGTGCACCTGAACTCCTGGGATGCGGGCAATGTCAATATTTTGTATACCTTTTTGTTAAGGTGTGCGCCTCAGTCAAGGTGCATGGTGTGTGCTTTGGCACACCTTTGCTACTTCTTACTTCAAGTTTAAAAATTAGAAAAAAAAAAAAAAAAAAAAAATCTTACTTCAAGTTTAAAAATAGAAAAAAAAAAAAAAAAAGAAAAAAGAAAATACCAAATTAAAAAAAAAAAAAAAAAAAGAAAAAAGAAAATACCAAATTATGACAATTAATTTCAGCAAATCATGTCTTCAATCCTACTAAATTTTAGGATCATTACCATGTGAACAAAATTAAATTTACCCTAGTCAAGTAATTGATTTAGGCAAATCATGCTCAAATTTTATGACAATTTCCATATATGTATAGAATTCAATATTCTTTTAGTCAACGAATTGAATGCAGCATCATGCTGCAACTCGTAGTAGTATTACCGTGCATGTATACAATCAATTGATTAGGGTGAATCATATCCCCGATCCTCTCCCAAATCTTTAGGATTATTACCATTTTTGTAATTGTACAATATAAAAAGAACTTTCTAACTATGCTTCCATGGCCAATCAAGAAGCCTCGAAAACACATCCTTCCATTCCAGTTGTTTCTCATCTCAATTCTTTTTTGTCTATTAGTTTTATATATTATTCCAATTTAGTGGAATATAGAATTATAGGTTAAAAATACTTCTGTTTTTGTTTGGATTTCAAAAATTTTTATGCTAGAATTTTAATTATATGTTATCATTTTGATTACTTATCTTCTGTAGACTTAGGTGTATTTTTACAATGTGCGCCTCCTGTTGTGCCTTACACCTTGTGTCAGGCTTCAGAATCTCCTTGTGCTTTGTGCCTTTAATAAGTAAGCCTGGTTCTGTGGCCCAGATCCAGCCTGCTTTATAAATTTTTATGTTTTCTATTTTTATGGATATAAATAAATTTGTATTTGCTTATATTTACATAAAACAATATATTTATACAAGCATGTGTACCAAACAGACTTCACATAGTATGCAATGCTAGTCATATGATTAGGACATGTGAGTTGAATGTTGTTTTCAGGGAGCTAGACTGAAGGGGTGTTGAAGTGTTCAAGGTCAAATTTCCTTAACTTGAGTTGTCATTGTGAAAGCGTTCATGAAAATTCTAACTCCAATACTTGAGCTTAGAATGATTGTCCACATTTAATATAGGGTTTATTAGGGAAATTTTTGCGGACTGACTTGTCTTTTTGGGGCTTTACTAGACACTTGTCTATTGCTTTAAGCCTCTAAAGCAATTTTTATTTTCCAGCTTTGCTGGAAAACTATCTCTGCTTCTTTAGGAGTCATTATTATTTACTTTTAAGTTTAATTTTAGAGTCTTTCCTTCCTTCTAGTATGTTTTAAGAGTCTAGATCCTTAGAGGATTACGGCTAGTTTTGAAGTCCTTTCAAAGTAAAGGTTTAGGATTAATGTATCCAGATTTTGTTGAGGGCTGAACTTTAGTTTCTGGACATGAGGTAAGGTCTACAATTTGTCCATCTTATGTTAAGAAATTAATAAATTTCATCTTTCTCTTAGGTTTTGGTAACTTTTATAAATCAGGAATTTTAAATTCTCAAATGTTTCTAATTATTTACAAAATAAAAGTGTATTAGAGTTAAATTTCTCATGAGTCTTACTTGAAAATAGCAACATTTGATGCAATTCTTTCACATATGTTGAGACAATTTACCTACTAATTTTAATTTAAAAAAATCATACTGCTGATCAGTGGATAAGCTAGTTAGAGAACACAGCAAAAGATTTAATAATGTATGTATCATATTATATTTTTAGAAGTTTTATTATTATTTTTTTTTCTGGGGGTAATGCCTTTGAAAAGCTCCACCTTGGTGAGGAGCATGAGGCTGGTCAGGTTTGTCCAAATCTTGATATGTATTGCATGGTTCATGTCCATTAATTAAAAGCTTGCCATATTCAAGAAGCATGCAACAACAGAATGGAAATGGAAAATTTTTACAGAAACAAAAAGGGGAGAGAAGACACTTAAGTTTGTAGTAGTAAAACGGCATATTCATAATGTCATATTCACCTGTACCCTAATAATTATTTGTTACTGTATTTATTTGGTAATAGCCGTTAAATGAAAAAAAAATGTCCGTTTCTTTATTGGTAAACGTTCTGTTACTTTGTTTGATAATAATTCCCAACATTTTATGTTGGTAATAATGCAATGGATGAAATGAGCCCGCTGCATTTTATGTCATAATGATTCCCAACAGTTCAGTTGTCTTCTCGCTGTATATCTCTTGTTTAATGCCCCTTTTCCTGTCAAACCTTGCTACCACCTCCATTCCAGGCCACCTCTGTGAACCTTTTTCATTCTCTTGTTTCTCATGTGGTAGTCGTCATGATAATACACTCTTATATGTTCATGTGACCATATAGGGCTCCCTCATCATGCATTGTCTTTTTGGTCATGTTGACCCTGTTGCCATAATGAGTTTCCAACTTTTATGAACAAGATGTCCTACTTCCTTCTTAGCTTTAGACAAGCCCATGCATAAGATGTTTGATATAAACTTTTCAGGAATATTTCTGATGTGACTCAAAAAGAAACCTTCTCCCCTTGATTCCAGTTTTCTATAACATATTATTAGATCAGGCAGAGGCTAATTATATATTGAAATTGGAAACAAATAAAAAAAAAGCAATAATTATCAAATATTAGCTTGATGCATAGCTCAAGCATGAAAATTGCGTTCAATGAATTTGTACTTTCTAAGTTGTAACGCATTTAATGTTTCTTATCATAATGGCTATGTGTTTGTCTTCCAATACTTCTACCTCTAATCCTGTTTGTCATTTACAGAGCTTGAGTGCTGAGAAAGACAGTCTTGACATAGTTCAGCACGAATGGGCCCTTCCGCAATTCGAGCACCGTGCCGAAGCAGTATTGAGAAAACTTGTGAATTGAGCATAGCGAAATATGTTGCAAGTGGAAGCTAAATGGTATATGCACAATGCGGTTTCCGGTTCTTTCATGCATTTTTTAGTAGAAGTTCATTGCTGCTTGAAGTCCACTACAATTTAACAATTATAAGAATGGCGAATCTGTCAGTATTGAGATTGACTTCCCAGTTAACTGTAACCATAGAGGAAATTTTTGATTTTGCAAGCTGTAATGTTGTGTTATCTTTTCTGGGATTCAATACTACACATTGGCAATGCATTAATGGTTTTAGGATATTGCCTTAAAGATATTTTTATAATATTCTCTATAAAAGAACAAATAAAATAAAATTTGCATTTTTTATGATGATAATAGTAAGAAATATATTAAAGCAATAATAGAAAAAAGGCCCAAGAAACTTATTTAGTTATTTACCGTGAATTTTGTAATTTCTTACAGTTGCATCCTTTTTGAATTTGTTAATATTATTATATCTCACATTCCAAACCTCCGATTAATTGTCTCTTAAAATAGATTTTAGAAAAAAAAAGAAAAGAAAAAAGTCAGTCCAAATTAATACCCAAGTACCCAACTATTTCAATTGTATCCAACTAAATAAAATTTTGAAATTAGCATCAAATCGGGACAAATGCTTTTATTATTGGGTTAATTGAATTAAACATTTATTTTGAAATTTTTTTTTTTAAAAAAAAATGTATTTTTCATACTTTAAAAGATAAAAAAAAATAAAAATAATTGAAATTTAAGACCAAAAACTATAAAAATGAATTTCCGTAATACATTTATTATTGGGTAAATTAAATTTTTGTTTAAACAAAATTAAAAATTATTTTCATAGCGGGGCAACTCCCTCCTTTGATTAACATTCATTAAATTGGTTTGTGGTGAAGATGACTCGAACTTGAAATTTTTCCCTCTCTACATATGAAGACCAATCAGATAATATATGATTAGTTGGTTAGACTTTTTTTAACATTGTAATGTAATTGAGATTACATGTGTAATCTCCATTACTTAGATGTAATATTCATTATATAAAAAAACACTTGTATTGTCTATCACATCAAATACATATAATACAATTACATCAAGTCAGTCCAATTAAAACTCTATTATTCAAGGCTATTTAACACTATAGCTTCACTACCAAAACCACCATCACCATGTCACCGCCACCACCTCAACCCCTACCACCACCACAACCACTTCATCACTGCCGTCACTCTTCCACCACTGTAATGTAAGGCTATTTAATTCAGAAAATTCAAGAAGTTAATAGTTGATTTGCACTTTATAGTTGGCTACAGATGATTTGAACTCGATAACTAAGCTAGGTTGGTAAGAATTTTTAATTATTAAATATTTTGGAGCTTATTTTTTTTCTAACTGTTGTTGTTTAATTTGTATTTATCATTTTTTTTTTTGAAATCTAGATTAGACGGATGGTTAAACCGTGTACTAATCAGTTTTTCGGTCAATACATGACCTAAATGTATATTACCAAAATGTTAACCACCAAGCCATGTAGGTTGCGTTAAATCTTTAAACAAATTATTTATTTTAGCATTTATAATTATTTTATTTTCTCTCAATTATTTTATCATTTCTTATTCAATATTTATATTAGTAACACATTAAAATCATAATTTATTCAATCATTTTACTTTTATTATGGATTCTTACTATTTTGAAAAACAACTTTGTAGCGGTTGCTATAAGAGCTTTGATGGCAAAAAAAAAAAAAAAAAAATATTTTTCATTTCTTATTCAATATTTATATTATAACGACATTAAAATCATAATTTATTCAATCATTTTACTTTTATTATGGATCCTTACTATTTTGAAAAACAACTTTGTAGTGCGGTTGCCTATAAGAAGCTTTGATGGCAAAAAAAAAAAAAAAAAAGGGCCGACATAAGTAGTGATATTTACTACTGCCTATTTAAAAAAAAAAAAAAAAAGCCGACATAGTAGTGATATTACTACTCCTATTTGGTTTGAGATGGTTCGAGTTTAGCCCTTTAGCTATCCTATCCATCTTTTGTCTATTCATATAGATAAGGTAATTAGGTAATAGTTATCTGAACTTTAAATCAAATGAAGTCTAGATAACTATTACCTAATTGGATAAACCTTATTTATATGGATAGACAAAAGATGGATAGGGCCTAATACATAGGGTCTAATATAGACAAAAGATAGATAAGGCCTAATTCAGATAAATAACTTTACATATTTTACATGGAGAGAAATAACCTGACAAGACAAACAACTTTACTTGGATATATTTCAGTATATATAATATTTACTTGAATTGGATAGACTTCAATCTATCTGATTTATATCATAGTAATCATCTTCATGTGGTGGTGAGTAATTAGATGTAGCTTCATTTTCATCTTCATCTTCTTGAGATACTTGACTATTTATATCTTATAGTGTCTTCTTGAACTCTTCAACTAAACTAGTAGCGGTGAGCACAACTTGCTATTTGCTTTTATTTGTTAAGAATTCTAGATTCTTTGGATTTTTCGTCGAAGGTAGATGTCTTTTTGAACTGAAATATTTTTGAACGGCTTGAACACAGACTTGAGTTTGGTTGTAGTCCTTCCACCATTTATTGCTAAAGATTCTGATAGCACAGGAGGAAAGGGTAGTGGTTGAACTTGTTTAATTTGACAATTCCAAGACAAAATCTATGGAATCCCAAAAGTAGTTGCAAATGGAAGTAGCTTATCTTGACCGAAATTGGTTAATTGTTTATTATAAAGCTCAAAGCCTTGTAGTATCTTTGTAGAAAAAGTTTTAATTGAACATCCGAAATACTTGAACCATTCTTGAAATCAATAAGGAACTTCTGTAATTAAACCTCGTGGTATCATTATAAACCGCGAATGATTATGATTTCTTAAATAGTATTATACCAATCCTTTTTATAATCCTCACAGTTGAAAGAACTTAGTACAAAGTTTTGACTAAATTTTCTCTTAGTGTATGGATTCTGATTCCAATCAGAGAGAGAGAAAACCTTGTTTTTTTGAACTTTTGAATATAAAACATTTCTAACATTTTCTGTATCATGAATATGCTCCAAAATTATAGAATATGTATCAACTAATATAAACTCCTAAAATTTTCTATTTTTGGAAAGGGAGACGGGAATAAAATGGAAGTTAGAAGGAAATACCTTTCGAGCTACTTCCAAAAAATTTGAAAATTTAGTATATTATTTTTCGATGTAGGTAATTGGTAAATCTATATCATCATTAACATAAGGATAATTAGTTGTGGATGATGATGCACCGGTAATTAAGGGCATCATGATAATTGGTTGGTTTATTTGTAACAGAAGTAGTAGAGGCAAAAGCTGATATCGGTAATTGAGTAGTTGAAGGGTCAGGTAATAGAGAAGAAATACTCACACTCTTTTTGCCATAACTTTCTCTTGTAATTTTATTCTTAACGGGAGTGACCATTAAGTTTTGCCTAACAAATTTTTTAGATAAAGGGAAAAACTTATTTGTTTCCATCTTTTCCCTGAAAAAATTCACGGGTAAGAAAATCAGGTAAAGAGTTAGAAGTACTTTTAATGGCTTCAACTTGAAAATCGAAACATGATAAAATAGCTTGTTAGCAAGCAAAAATTTATTTTGAAACAATATTTTTAACATCCTTTTCTAAAACATTTTTGGCTGCTAAGTAGTCAATTCATAAAAGGATATTTTTGTTAATTAAATCATCTTCAAATTTTGTAATACATAATATTGAAAGCAATTCTTTGTTAATAGTTGAATTTTTTTTGTGTATCATTCCATGCTCTAGAATGGTACTTGACACCTGACTAAGGATTTAACAGACTGATATGGTAATTTTTGTTTGCGAATACCTCCATAGCCTATATCTGAGGCATCGGTTTCTATTATAAGAAATGAATTGGGATTTGGTAATAAAAGACAATGAAGGCTTTTAACTTTAGACTTTATACTATTTTAGTATATTTCTCAGTCCAAAGAGAAGAATTTTTTTCTTAACCCATTGAATAATGGTTGACACAAGATTCAAATATCTTATATAAAATCAGCAACATAGTTCAAACATTCCAAAAATCTTTGTAATAGATTTTTATCAGTAATTTTATCTGGAAATTTTTCAGTAAAATTAATTGATCTGTCAATCGGTTTAATAGTGCCTTGAGAAATGTCATATCCTATAAATCTTATTTTAGTCTGAAATAATTTAACTTTTAGAGAAGAAAAACTAAACCATTTTGCTTAACTATATTGTAAAACATTTTCAAATGAGAAAAATGTTGATCAATGTCATTTGAATAAATAAGCACATCATCAATGTAAACTATTGAAAACTCATGATAATTGTTAAAAATGTCATTCATAATATTTTGAAATTCAAAAAAGGCATTTTTTAAACCAAATGACATAACATTCCACTCATAGTGACAAAAGGGAACATTAAAATCAGTTTTTTATCTACCAGACTCGTGTATTTGTATTGCCAAAATCCTAATTTCATATCAAATTTAAAAAATATATTTGCACTATATAATCTTTTTAACAAATCTTTTTTATTTGGTATACGATACCTAATCCATTGTAATACTTTATTTAAAGATTTATAATTAATAAGTAATCTGTGTGCTCCTCTTTCTATTTCTGCCGCATTTTGGAAATAGAAAACTAAATAGCTCCAAGGGGACTTAAATTTTCTAATTAGTCATTTATCTAATAAATCATTTATCTCCTTATAACAATATTTTTGTAATTTTTTATTCATCTGTATAGTTCTAGACCTTGTTGGAATATTTTTCTCATTAAAATCTTTTATATAAAGTAAATGAACTATATGTTGCTTTCTAGACCAAAAGACATTCAGAACATTTGAACATACTTCTTTATTTAAAAGTTCTTCAAAATCTTTAATTTTTTGTTTTTGGTGTAATTGATTTTCAATCCTAATATTATTAATTTCTTGTTTCAAATAGCTAATGTGCTTATGTTTCTTTTTTTTCAATAAGATTTATTTCTTTATATACAAAAATATCTTGTATAGCACTTAAATCCTTTTGTATAATTGGTTGCATAAATTTAAAACATTTTTGATTATTTAAGAAATTTGTTTTCAATCCTTCATTATCTACTCTAAAGGGATAAATAGTAGCTAAAAATGATATTCCTAGTGAAACGACCCGAAAATTCAATTTCGTAGGATTTTCATTTAAAAACTAAATTTTTATTCCAACCAATGACATTCAGCAGAAAATATTTTATTATTAAAATTCAATTTCGTAGGATTTTCATTTAAAAACTAAATTT